ATACCACACAACAGATTTAGTTCACTTTACACCAGCTAACACCGAGTAAAGCTGATAACAGACTGCCAAAAGTCATTTTTTTCCCACCCTACTAACTTCTGAGAGGATTTCTAATTTCTTACCTAAACTTAATCTCAGAGTTCCTCGAAGGAGTCAAATCGTAAACCTCATCCATCCTCTTAAGATGTGATATTGCTAACGGTTTGCTGTTGGTCTGTTTGAGCAGAAAACAAACAATGAGCACTGGATGACTGGCCCCAAGGGAGACAGTGAGTTTTGTTTCCCCGAGACCCTCAGCATTCCCCGAAACAAAGCCAAGGGGGACACTGAGGTCGAGGGGAAACAAAACTCTCTGTTTCCCCCAGGGCCAGTCATTAACTGTTTTGTTATACCTCCCAACTCAAAAATAGAAAAAGAAAACAAAAAACTGCAAGGAAATCGTTTACTTGACCTCGCTGGCACACGAATTTGCCGCGGTTTCAAGGAGCACGACCTGATCAAGTGTGAGTCGAAAGTTCAAGTTGTTGTTTCCCTAGGGAGTTAGTGAGTTGCGTTCGCCTTAGGGAGTTAGTAAATTTTGACCCACGACACGTGACACGTTCTCCTCCAATCGGAAAACGCATTTGAGTTGGGAGGTAAAACAAAATCCTTCATAGAAAAACAACATTCGAGAAAACTAGCGCTCATTTCGGGCAATCTCGCAAGAACACCCGAAAAGTTTCCGACACTTAGCTGTTAACCAATTAGAAGGCTGCCCAAACACTCCCGACCAAACCGAAGGTTGCTACGTCACACGAACACGTCACGTTACTTCGCAACGTTTTGGGCTCAATGAAGGAATTATCCGCGCAAAAAGCCCGCTTCTCATGTCCCCTGAAACTGTAACATTACAAACTTTTTTAACTGTGTACTAGAATCTAACGTCCAACTTCACCTGGTCCACGAGCTGAGCCAAGAATTCAACCACCTGAGCTGGCGAGAAGTCTTTGATGTCATCACGCGAAAACGAACCTAGCTCTGCCTCAGTGGCCTGGGGAAAAATAATAATCATTTAACATAGCGCCATGAATAAAATACTGCAAACACTTCTTACGATGGGAGGGGTGGCTGAGGGTGAGTTTTGATTTTATATTATTATCCATAGTTAGCAGGGACCACATTAAAAATAGGAACGCAGGCAGGTAGTACACCATGTGAATAAGTTTGATCTTAGTTATTAAATTAAGTGTATACCATCGTATTAAACAGGGAACTTTGAATAAGGTTTTACTGACCTCCAGCCATTTGCCACAAAGGATGGTACACGGTTTAGTCAAGGTTGTGTCATACCTGACATTAAATGAGTACAAAAATGTAAGAACCAATAATTTGTACAGCAGAATGGTCACACACTAGGGTTTCATCCATGATCTAAAAAGTTAGAACCACCTTGTACAGCATAATAAACAGTACCACATGAAAGTACTGCTCAATAGCTTTCATTTGAATGGTCACACACTAGGGTTTCATCCATGATCTAAAAAGTTAGAACCACCTTGTACAGCATAATAAACAGTATTACGTGAAAGTACTGCTCAAAAGCTTTCATTTGGGTTGTCCCATTATGAGGCTTTCTAATGAACATGAGGTTTGATTCTGGGTGTAAAAGAGCTAACAGTTCAGAGTTCCAGGCCAACCCTTCTTCTATCAGAGTAACTCACCACTCTATCATTTTTACAGGAGGCAAACCTGGTTTGTGAAGCCAAGTGTTCCAATCAACCTGCTTCAACACATCTTTCTGCAAGCCAAAGATGACATTAAAAGAACTTTCTCGATACAGTTGAACCCCGCTATTTCAATCTCTCCGTGGAAACGAAAAACAGTTTGAAATAGCCGATAGTAAATGACTGAGTTGCAAATCCATGGGAAATTGTTTTGAGTTCGAAAAAATGGGGAATTCAAAATAACTTGGGTCCAACTGTACATAAGACCTCAAATAGACTGTGATGTACAATTATTTTGTCAGAGCCCCAAGATTAAAATGTGAATTCTCCTTACAGATTGTCACACATTTCTTTCATTATCTATTCTGAGAACCTGGAGATACATAACGACAAAGTAAGTAGTTGTAGATTTTCCTAATGTTCATCACCTGTCTGGTATTAAACAATTAGATTATGAGCTCAAAATGTCTATCGCGTGATAGTTGACGAGGGTGCAGCCCAGGTCAACTATCATTCATAGAAATTGAGAGCGAATAATCTAATCGTTTTAGTATAAATCTACTAGTAGTACAAAACTTTATCTAAATCCTCTTCACAGACACCTCGAAAACGCAAAGAAGCTGCCGTCATTTTGTTAACAAGCGCACATTGCTACGCTACTCACTATCTAAAACAGAATAGATACTGAGCAGCGTAACAAATCAGTGAACGCCATTCGTGATAGAACGCTGGTAGATTCATACTAAATATGAATAGATGTTTGGAGAAATTGCTAGTTAACACTTAGCAAGATAAGGATTTAGACTTTGCATGTACAGCCACGTACCTTGTCATGAAAATACTCCTCAAGGTAGTGTCTCCATTCTTTTGTTGTGACAGTTTCGTATTGGAACTTTTTCAAGTATGACTTTAAAAAGGGCTCAAACACATCTGCAATCAAAGTGAAAGAAACTACGTGTTTTAAAAAACAATATATAATTGCCTTATATCATAAGGCTTACGATGTGTACAGTGACAACATATCCATTCATTATTTTTGAGAAATTCCATCCTAGTTTATCAATCTCATGTTTATTTACTATTTTCTCTTCTGTCATTAAAACAACTTTCTCACCAGGCCCTCCTAGGATCCTCTCCAAGTAGGTTAGGAAGCAGGAGCCTTTTTCATAAGGCACACTGGAGAATACATCATCAGGGTCCGTGTCTTTCAGATCTACTACCAACTGGGTCTTTGGGCTCCCATCTGGAAACTGCTTGATCTGTAGTTAAAATTTATATTTCATGATCTTATCTTTTTAAAACTAGGTTGGTGTTAACATCGTATTGTAGGCTATACAATCATGTGGTTTTAATTGTAGAAGAAACCTCAGCTGGCACATTAGCCATGAGTAAATTCATCATAGATTTGCTATAAGTCTATGTAGAAACAGATATTAAATAAATGTGGGGTCATGATAAGTTATTTACTAGTTGACTTAATTCCCATGCAATAACAAACTGACAAACATGTAGATAATAGCATGGAAAACCTGCAGTCTACTGTCTAGTCACTGCATCTAGAATGTCAGTGGCAAATCAAACAAATCCAGAGATTGATGTATGACTAAATTAATTAAGAAAGATCTTCAAGTAACTTACTGCATCTTTCAAAGTTTTCCATCCTCCTATCACAAAATGCAAAATTATTATTTCGAGGTGTTAATGGTTGTGTATGTCTTAATACAGTCTGTTTAACAAACACTATCAATCCAAAGAGTGAAAAAATTGAAAAATAAACAGTAAAAAATTGGACTGTATGTCAAATAATTATGAGATAAATTAATGTTAATGTCATTCATTTCAAAAAATATAAAAAAGATCAACTGAGTCTCATGTAGCTTTCCAAGGTTTTCACTATTTGCCCTCTTTGATGCACAACAGACTGGTCAAACTTATAATAATTGTCATTTAGCCAGTTTTGACTTACCTATGTAAGCAAAATCAACCATTTTTGCACCCTTTCTTCTTCCCAGAATTTTACGTTCAAGGAAGACTGTAAACCCTTCATTCAACCTACAATAAAGTACCCACAATTTCCAGTCAAAGTACGTTTGTAATAAATAATTGGACACACAGTCACATTTATTAGTTCTCAATGACAACCTCATATTTTAGTCTAATTAGAGTTAACTGATGCAATATGCAATTTTCAGTCAGGAGCATGAATACCAGACAATCGATATAATAAACAGTGGTGTAATTCAAACCTAAACTTGATCAGTAACTATTACTAATAATTGTTTATTCCATTAATCCCTGTGGTCAGAATAAATTAATAAAAGTTCTTTACAGTGTCCATACATTTCTTACAGCACCAGTCTAGAGTCAGAACTGCGACAACTTTCAATAAAACAGTCTTTCTCAAAGGCGACCATTTGGTAAATTCTCATGACCTGATTGATGAAGTATAGAAGTACCTTGTACATATTATGTATATGCATCAACTTATTGACATTAAAAGGAGACACATGATTTTGATCATGAATTATTGGGCTTAACAGGTTGTAAGATAATTGAAGATCTGAATGAAAATAAAAACTCTCTGATAAAAAGTATTTATTTATAAATTAATATATTTCAAATTTTTAATGAAAAATTAACGATACAACATGATGTTCAGCGTCATCTTGTCACCATTATTAAATGGCGACAAGATGACATCAAAGCATCCTGTTATTAGCATTTCTTTATCATTTAAAATGTTTTTCTATATTGATCTTCTATATTTATTATAACAACATACCAAAAATGTTCCCAGGTTCTGTTTGTGATAAGATTTCCAGTCCAGCTGTGTGAGATCTCATGGGCTACAACCTGAAATATTAATGACACAGTAAGTCAAACCTTGGAAACCCTTGAAACAATGTTCAACAACGTTTTAGTATTTCAAAACTAGCCTGTGGGTTCCTCAAGGCATGTCCTCAAGAACTTTAAAAACAAAATAATTCCAATTGCAGTTAACATGCCTTTTTTAGCTTACTACGATCATAGACAAAAGTCTTGGGACAAATTTTCACTTTTGGCGCTTTTGCGTACACGCCAGGCACGAATACAACTTCACCTGCCTAACCTCGCCCCCCACCCCCCATACAATGTTGAAAACTAGCATGTACAATTTCACCTGATTTTCAATATTGTGTTGGGGGGGAGGGGAAACAGATACCCGTTTATAAAGGATATACCAGCATTTTCTTNTTTTTTATGTCTACAGTTACTCTCTGAAAGTGCATCTCTATAAGCACATTATAATTTTATTAATATTAATATTATTAATAATATAAATAGAATCATATGATCCTCTTTAAGAAGAGATTGTTCATTGTACATGTACACAGAGTGCCATTACTTACATCAGTCAAAGGCCTACCACCCTGCAACAAAATAAATTTATATTAATGATTAATAATCATTTACAATAGTATAAAATAAAAATAATAATAAAAAAGTGGCCACTTGAGGGATTTAAGAGGACTATTGCCAACAGAGAAACCATGGAAAACTCTGCTATATGTCTTTGATATACTAAGTTCAAAATAAAGGGACAATAATGGCACTTGGTCCTCTTACAAGTATTTAAATTTTTTTTTAGAAACAATATAAGGCAAATGAATATAATCTATTATAAGTAATATTTGACAGAAATGTAGCTAAGAGCTTACGCTACTGGCTAATTCACTGGAGAGCTTATCACTGGCAGAAATTTCCCTAGAAAGCAAAACTTATAGGGCCATTCTGAATGTGCACATGCCAGAAAAGTTGGCTGACCATGTTAATAAGCCCGGTCAGTTTTCTCAAGTCCAGATTTACTACTAACTGTGCATCCCCACGGTTTCATTAATGTTTTCAGCAGAAGGGCAACTGGTTTTCACAGGTGGACAAAACTATTTGAACTGAACATCTAAAACATAAGAAAACCTAATCCTCTGGATGGTCAAACCAGGCAGGCAAAATCATCCTCACAACCTTTCAATTTGGCCCATGCCCAGCACTTAATGAAACCCCTGCAACCCTCTTTAACCAACAAAACATTACAATGTTGGCCACTGACCCCCTCTCCAACTAACAGTGTGGGTGTCACAAATGTAAGACAAGGATTTTCCATTCCACCATATGGAAAAGAAGGAGGGAGAATCAGCAAGTCGTATGTCCCCCAGACATAACTGAAAGTCAGCTCCTCTGCAACAGCAAGCTGGGACTCAACCTGTCAAATGGAGTAAAATTTAACAGGTCTAGATCTGTAGACTATATACAATTATATATAATTGATCAACATCTAATCAAACAATCAATTATTTTGGAAAATAACTGTGTTTATTTGCTGCTTTACTAAAAAGTAATTTAAAAAAATGTGGAAAGCATTAGTGAGAATACATAACTTTTAATTAATTTGCAAGCACTTCAAACATGAACACAAATAAAAGAATTAAAGTTGCATCTATACCAAGTCTGACTCTCCCAGATACAGACCTAATCTCGTGGTCTCCCATACATGTACAGGTTAATGGTGAGATCTCCCAGACAAGCGTAAAAATACAATTTTCAGACATATTTTGGCCATTTTTTTTTTTCAGGGGGGGGGGGATTTTGGAATATTTGATGCATTTTTGTGGTTGAATTGGTCAAGCTCTAATTATAATGATAACATTTTTAAGAGNAGCGTAAAAATACAATTTTCAGACATATTTTGGCCATTTTTTTTTTTCAGGGGGGGGGGGATTTTATGATATTTGATGCATTTTTGTGGTTGAATTGCAGGACTCAAATTTGAAAAACTTTTTTTTTAGGGTCAAAAAGGTAAAACTGGCCATCTCCCAGATTTTGATTTTTTTTTTTTTTTTGGCATCTTGAAGTTTGTGTTGTGAGTAAATCATTAATCTCCAAACTTTGTGAAAGAGAAAGCAGATGCTGATCACTTCTGGGGATAAAGTGTGGTAACTGAGTATCTCACCTCTGCAAATTCCCAAGCACTTATCTCAAGCATTTCCTTCTCCGTCCACACCCTGGACCGTGGTCCAACCTCCCTGAGAATTGAAAAGTAACAGTCTGGTAAATTCCACATGTTTTATATGGTTAAAATTTAAATGCAAAATTTATTACTTGCTGACTAGTAAGTTACTTCAGAGGGCCAATATAAATTAACATGCAACCAATGTATGGCTCTTGTACCAGAGTCCAATATTTTCCAAGTATTAGACCAGGAACCAACCTTGGAAAGTTCCTGTACAGCTTCCTTCCAAGTACTCACTGTCAATTGATTTCTGACAGTGATGGTGAAATATCGAGGCATAGCAACTAGGTAAGCACCATTCCAAATGATCCTGCATGGCCAATCTTGCAGGTTTTCTTGAAGTTTGAATCGTAGTTTACTTCTCAACGAGAAAAATTCTAACTAGCCTTACTTGGTTTGCTGACACGTTAGCAGCCCAGGTTTCATTAACATTTTCAGGAGGAAGGCAACCAGTTTCCACAGGTGGGTAAACCTTTTTGAACTGAACGTTCCTCTGGAAGGTGAAACCAGGCAGGCAAAATTCCCCTCACTATCGGTCAATTTGCCTGGTGCCCAGCCCTTAATGGAACCTGTGCGCTATTAGCATTAGTAACAATATTACTTACTGGCTCACAAGTGCCCCAACAACAAGGGCGATGAGATAACTTGGAATAACCACCTGCGGAAAAAGTTAAACAGATACTGCCAGTGAGTTTCTTAATATTTAGTTTTACATTACTTATGAAAATAATCATGGTTGTAAAGTACCTTCTGCGTGAACATGTAGATCTTTTTCTTAGGATTTTTGGTATCAAAGCTGCTCCCTGTTCCCACAGCACTCATCAGAGCAACAAGATCTTTCGGAACAGTCACCTGGTAGAAACAGGAAGAATATGTCTAACTTAACTTGTTAAACTAAATGAAAATTCATGACCTCCAAAAGGCCATATTTATATTCTGGATACTGGACTAGAACTTATAAACTTGCAACGGAGACTAATGTGGGGATTCTTTTCATATACTAACAACATTAAGCTCTTTCTTTTAATTGATCCAAGGTTTTTAAACTTCACTGAAGGTTCATTCCTCTTGTTTATATTATAAGCAAATTTCATTGTGAATGTTAAGATTAACTACTGTGCGTAACAACTGGTAAGTTTATACACTCTAGAGGAAGTAAATAATATTAGATGATCAAACCTCTGCTTGGTAAGGTGTTTTCACAGAAGGTGTGTCTTGGCATGGTATGAGACTTCGAGCATGAATGGCCTGGAAGGAAATACAAATTATCTAAATAATATAATTTAAGAAATAAATCAGTGGTAACCTGTAAGAGCTTTTTCCTGCATAACCATAATTATTATAGTTAATAATTAATCAGTATTAATTATTAGTGAAAACTGTTAGTAATTAATTGTGGCATTTAATGGTACATGAATAAAATATTCCTTACTGTAGATGAGTTTCTTTTACAAAATTATTTCCTCGTAGAGATCACATTTACCCACAAGGTATACTGTTTTTGTTCCCTAAACAAGATACGACAGTGTAAGGCCCAGTATTCTAATTGATAATTAGATTATGAACTGGAGATTTCTATGAGGTGAGAGCTGATGAGGCTGAAGGCCAAATCAACTATCACCTCAGCGAATAATCTAATTGTTTTCATAGTAGAATTCTAACTGAACTTAATGCATATAATGATTTCCAACTATTTTTCTATGCATTATTGAACTTCACGCTTTAACAAAATCGCACATATTGAATTGTCCTTGGTAAAATTGCAGCTCTTTATGCATGCCCACCCGGGTTTTAAATAATTTAAGGTTTTTAAAGTCACGAAACTGTTAATTTCCTTCTTTTAAGTCTTCTCAGCAATTTAATTATCTATTTACATCTAAACTTTCTTCCAAAACTTCGGAAAAAACAATAAGAATGTACATGTAGCATTTCATAGATGACTGACAGTTACTGCACCCTAATGGCTGATAGTATACGAGTAGCTCAGCCAATCAGATTGCAGCATTTGTATTAGTATACTTAAGTAGAATTCTACTAAACAACATTAGTGAAAGCTGCTTTTTAATTTAAAGAATTTGACTTACTTGGCACTGGGTGAAGAAATACGGATGATTTTTCCCGGCAGTCTGCTCAGGAGTTAGCCACTGAGCAGCTGAGGCAGTATTAGAAGTCTGGTAACTAATCTTAATGTGCAGCATAGAACCACTGATGAAGGGAAAAAATACGAAAAGACTACTAGGTTAGCAATGGGATAATGTTTTACTTTAATTACTTAAATCAGTATTTGGGAAGAAATTCTCACTGGATGGGTTAGGCTTTGGTACTTGCTAAAGATTTTAATTGGGTGTTTGTTCATTTACCTCCAAGCTACATTGTACCCAAGGTCTGTCAGTGACTACAAGTAGACTGCCTGGCAGAGAGTCCAGTTTCCACTAAACTGTCAAAACAATTTACTGTACAGTCAAAACTCCGGCTGTGACCACCTCTTCTCGGTGAAAAAATCAAATCACTATAATTATTTGGAACCTCTTGTAAGCAAAGCGACCACCTCTCAATCTCGTTAGTGATCATGACCACTATTAGAGCTAAAAGTCTGAAATTTTCTATTGTTTTTAACCTCTTGCAAGTGACTATTTGACAGATAATAGGGCAGAAATTGGATGATAAGGTGTTGTAACATTGTAGCATTACTGTATAGTTCAAGAGACAGAAATTTATCTATAGATGCAAAGTACCAGATTTTTTTTCTCAAAATGAACTTTTCACCTGAATACATGTAAGTCTCTGCAGTTACCTTATGCTAACGAGGCAAAATTTTGACCCAATATGATCTAAGTCCCTGTAAGTGACCACCTCCCCTAAGCGACCAGACCAAGGATTGACATTTTGGGTGGTTGTTTACGGGAGGTTCGACTGTATTTAAAAATACTTGTCTTAAGAACAGTCTTCACCACTAGCTAAATCCACGTCAACATAGTCTCTTAAACAACAGCTGATTTTGTTGACACTGACATCACTAACATTTACTTTTTCAATCCATGAGGTAGTTCAATGTTAAGTGGTTTTCCAAATGCCTTGTGTTCTTCACCCAAGCTGTGTTTAAGGGCCTCTCCTGCCTCATTTGTCACACAGTCGATTGTCAGATCTCGAGTATCCAGCACCTGATTAGAGTTATTAATAACATTTCATCTTTCTGACTAAAAAAATTACTTCATTGTGATTGGCTGAGAGCAGCCAATTTATTGTGAATGTTAAAGTTGCACAGCACTTGAAATTACATAATTATACAGGAGCATTCACAATTCTCTCAGTCATATAATACAAGTGTTAGAGTAATTGTATGAAAGCTTGAGCACCAGGGAGCCCAAAAGTGCGACCACTTTGAATTAATTCAAATTCTTTCACGCATGACTATCCAATCAGTTACGTGATGGCTTTTTGTAGCCGATTTAGTGCACATAGTGACTACAGGTCAAAATTTATAGCAAGCTATACAAAAGCGACGGATATTTAATTTGTGCTAGTCACTTCCGCCTTAGCATCTGGTCTTCTCCTCGTAATTGCCCTGACCCCACTGGTTAGCCTACATCACAGGCTTAAATTTACCCACAGTAGGTTGCGTCTGGGACGCAGGCCACCATTGGCAAGATCACTCAATATTCACACCAAAAGAGAATAAAAACAACAGATATACAATAATGGAGATATCAGAATGCTGAATGTACTTGAATTCACCTTAGATTTCTGCAGGCCCACGCCATAACCCCATAAGCAAGTTTGGATGACTATAAAGTTCAGAAATTATCATTAGAGGTGTTTGTAGAATTTAGAGCCACTTTGGGCAACCTCGCTGATGTGTTTATGCAGCACTTTGAAGAAGGTGAATGCAGTTCTTGTTAAATCAATCAATCAATCAATCAATCTTGAAATCAATAAAAAAAATAAATATTAAATAAACCACTCAATTTTTGTATCATGAATCAAAGTATTTAGCACTATATACCACCAAGACATGCCGCCTCCACACGGCGTTTTCAGTGAGATGCGAATACGCTTAACACGAGTGGCCCTGTTTATGTGCAACGTAAGTGGGGGGCGGGGAGGTAGGTTGAAGACCGGGTGTGATCGACTAATCCCTCGGGGATTTTCCGTAATGATCAGTTTATACCCCGTTACCCAGCACAGTACAAGTGTAAGTTGCTTACTGTACGTTTCACGACAGCGTAGGTGTCTTCGTGTAACTTTAAAAGCGTGAACTCCTTCAAACTTATTTACTATAAGCGCACACAAAAGGAAAGAAGTCGAAGCCCACAAGTGAAGTTTTCGAACCTTACCAACGTTTTGACGCCATTTTCTTTCACCTCGAAGTCCAGCTCAGCGCGACAATCGAGGATCTGTTTCTCAAACAACACGTTCACGAACCAACTAATATGCGTACACGTACACTGGGATGGGTCGGAAAATGAACACGGATCAGCCATTTCCTAACAAACCCTGAGGAGGACAACTTTCGAATTGCGCTGTTTGTGCCGCGGCGCCCGATAAATTTTTCGTCGATCCCAGTCTTCCTCGTCATGCTAGGCCTGCGCGTGACGATCGCACGTCGCGCGTGGCTATGGCGATCGTTGAACGTGACGGTTCTGACGGTCCCTCCCGTGACAACGTGAATGTGTTACTTCCGTGATGGTTTCGGTCAACAACAGCAACAACGACAATACACTGATATTTTTATTATTCAACTCTACTGCCTCTAGTTGCAAAGTGTTCTACTAAATGCTGAATTGTTTTATTAGTATCTCGGCTTTGTCATGACTTCTATATAACTTTGAAATTATTTTCATACATTTGCGAAAGAAGTGCTATTTTCGGTCACACCTCACTCGTGCACGAATACTTTCCGATTCTTCTTGACCAATCAGAAAAAAAAAATACAAGCTTGTGAATGAGCGAGAAGATAATTTGTAGCGGAGCAAGATTTCAAAAGTTATAGGTAGAAAAGGTTCACGATTTTTCTACGCCACCTGCCTAGGGCAGAAAAGAGGTACATATCAAAAAATTAAAAATAAAATATTACTGACTTATGTTAAGTTGAAGAACTACTTGAATTTCCATGACTACAATCAAGGAAAATTACACAAAAACGTCAATCTTTCATTTTGATATCAGTCCACTGATCTCCTGGCCTGGACGTTTGGAAACGGGGACCTGCAGATTACTCCAGTGATTCCTCGTGAACATATTCCTGCTTCATGTTAAGAGGATCGCAGGGTTTGAAGCCCAAGATACCCTCCAGTAGTTTCCTACCATAGGAAACCAATCGGCTGTCGGATAGGAAGTGTATAACAATAACTGACTTAACTGTGTTCTTCGCGTCGGCCAGAGCCTCGCTTGCACATTTCACCTGCCCCAGTAGATGCACTTGAAATAGGATATAACTCTTAGTGTAAATGTAGCATTCCCAGTGTAGCGATTTGCTTCGCGCCGATATTCTTCCATGACTGTAGGACTTAAATGGTTCAGATTCGTCTTCGTTGCTATCCACCAAAGGCATGTCCCCATCTTTCAGCATTGCGCTCTTGTTGGCAAAGGAAGCTTCCAATACTTGGCCGTCCATGGTGAAAATCTCATTCGGAAAGAGCTTCCCAGCAATCGATAATATCTCGTCAGCGAATTCTTCCTTGGTGCAAGGTCTGACCTCCAGTGCTAGGCTGTTCGCGACTTCGTTTAGTCTTTCTTTGTCGAAATTCTCCAGGTCGAGATGGTAGGCAATCATATCTTGCTTGAAAAGCATTTGATCAGCAAAAAGCTCTTGGCGGCTTGCGTAGAATTTTTTCGGTGCATAAAACAGCTCTCGGGCAACATTCGGATAATTTTTACGAATGAAATTTCGGCTCGCCTCGACCATCTTGATTTGAAGCCCTTGGCGTCGGAATTGGGGATGGATTTTTTCAACATCACAAGCAGAGCTTCGTCCGTCGTTCACAATGGCGAAGGTTCGCAGTCCAACGATACGGCCATCAATTTGGGCGACGAAAACAGCTCGTTTTGGTTCCGTGAGCCAGCCGTTGAATCTACTGGGAATACAATCGTGATCTTCATCACCTTTGTCTTCATAAGTAGCGCGGGAAAGTTCCACAACTGCATCGTAGTCGCCCATAGAAGCAGGACGAATTTCTATTTCTTCCATTTTTTGGCGGCAGAAAACTTCCTGAACAAGAAAAGCTTCGATGAAAGCCAAGATGTCACCAGTTGCTAGCAGTTTTGAACTTTCAATGATTTTGTTAGAAATTCGAGATAATAGTTGATTGTGAAGCACAATAGAGGTTCCTCCAATTGGCTACTTATCACTTAAACGCTAATTAGTTGTTTCACAAATACAATATAAACAAGCTGCAACTCGCAACATTTGTCTGTTTACAAGTTTTAAAACCCAGTTTAAAGAAAAACCAATTGAATGGTTTCTAGTGCTTAACAAGAGAAGTGCAAACGGCGTAATGTAAACAAAACTTTCAAACAACATCTGAAAATTCTCGTTCGAAACTCCATTTCTCCAGTTTCTTCCTGTGCTGTGTTGGTACGCCTTGTTGAGCAATCAAACTGTGATGCATTATGTGAAGGCCTTTGTTTCTGCCTCACACGACGGGATGACGTTTCAAAGGGTCGTTTTAAAAGAAATTAATACAGATTTATACAATTTTAATAATCTCGCCCGGCTTTCGTTTGCATAAATGCAATTATACGGCGTTTTCGCGCCTTTGTTGCAATACTTCTTGTGCCTGCTTCGGATTACGCAAGCATGTTTGGACAAAAAATACATAACGCACCACTGTACAAATAATGATGTTTATCGACTTGCCCCTGGGAAGATAGTCATCTTGGGATAAGTCTCTCATCTTATTGACGCCGCCAGAACACTGAAAATATTTGCTGGGCTGGGGGCTAGTGTCCAAAGGAATTTATTTAACTCGGTTGCTGTTCGACCAGATTTTTACAAGGTGATTACTGAAGGACCCGAATATACCTCGTTCAGAGATTTGAAAGCCTTTTAAAAGAGTTCTGTCAGCCTATTGAAAACAAATTTCAAACAACAGTTGGAAAATCGTAGACGAAAATCTCAAAGTTTACGCAAAGAGGAAAAAAGAGTTACATGTACAGAGATGAAAAGCGACAAGGATGAACAAGATTAAGAAGGATTAAAAACTGGGCCCTCATGGCCAAGATTAATTCCTTTTCTAGCCGTGGGAAAAGGTTTTTATCCGCTCTCCCAAGCCAGTTCTGTTCAGATCGACGCATAGATGACCGGTTTAATTGAGAATAAGACCGAATTTAAGGTTCAATGTGCTTTGTAAGCCTACCCGGCGTCTTCGTGGAAATCCAAAAACAAATTTCGTGAGAGGCACGCAGTTGTTTTGAGACATCCAAGATCGTGTCTGTGGAATGTAAAATTGCCGGCATGCGACAGTCACGTCCGTTTACTAATCGTTCTTTAATCATTAGATCACGCAACGATAGTGTGAACACCGCGCCCAGTCACGCAAGGACCACTTGTCAACTTCCCGTTACTCGAACAGCGGCCGGTAATCGAGCCAAAAACCTGAAGAAGAAGAATATTGGAATCGATAGTGTATTTCTCAAACCGTTTAATCAGCCTCACCCAGTCACAGTTAACGATCGTTCCTTAAAGATTGAGTGACGTGCTGTCGAAAGAGCGTGGGTGGGAGGGGGTATTTCTAAGAAGCGTTGCGTGACACGTGAAAATTAGAATTTTTTGAGGTCGCAAGGTGACAGTTACATGACGAATAGATCGGTCAAAAACAAAATGGCGGCACTATTGAAGAGAGGTGGAACGCTAAGAACCAATATTAGTACTTCGTTAGTGATCCATCATTTGAAAAGACTTTCACCCTGTGGGAAACTGCGTCTGTCAGACAGCTCATCTTATAGTACAGAGAGTGCAGCATCAAGGACGGAAGAATTCAGTCTTCGATATCTAGAAGGAAAACATGAAGGTTTCATAATCTCTGAATTTTAATTTTTTTTTTTCATAGATCGCTGATTATAAGCCTTAAGAGTAAAGTAATTCAACAAAGAGGCGGCAAATCTGTCCCTTTCTTCATTGTCGTCTTGCAGCCTGCGCACCTAATAACTACATACGATATGGTCGAACGGGAACTTAATTATAACTAAATTTAAAAGTGGGTGTTGACGGGGTGGGACTTGGGGATGGGTGGGGAGTTGCGTGTCCGAGATGGGCGTGTTGAGAAGGACTTTTTCAGCTAGTCGATCATTTACTTCCCAAATATATTAATTAGCCTGTCAGATTGTATAAATTGAACTCAGGATGTTTGTTTTTCAAGTATGTGTCACTGACGACTCAGCCAGAATGACTATTTTTCTTTCTTTCGTTCTTCTTCTTCTTTTTTTTTTTTCAGGGATTGCTTTATTTGTAATGAATAGACCAGATGCAAAGAATGCCATGAGCAAGAATTTCTTAAGAATGGTGGGAGTAACTAATGAAATTTTAATCATCAAATACTAGTTTATTCTGACCCTGCAGTTTAAGCTTAGTTTATACTCCTTTGTACCCTAAAGTCAATGATTCAGCTGTTTGAATCTTGGTGTGAACAGAAGAAGCCTAAAAAGACATGTTTCAACAGGATTCTGTGTTATTAGTGCAATGTTCTACCCAATGAACTGAGCTATGAACCAGTGCATTTGGGAGCAAGGTCTATTGTGAGATCAAATTGTGCCAAAGCCCTGTTCAGCTTTCAGCAGTGGTTTATTGCAGGTTTCTGCTAGCCTGCATTGCAGGCACAAACAGGGAAGGGGTAAGGAGGCAAAAAACACGAGGAAGACAGCCACAATTTAGCAAATTTATTCTTGGTCTGCAGTTCAAATGGTACTGATTCAGTCATGTACTTCATTGCCAAAAATCTTAGATCGAAGAACTTTCAACAGAGAGTTGTTTTTACTTAGTTCATAGATGCCATTGATTGTGTGAAGTTTGACAAGAAGGTTCGAACTGTTATCTTCAAAAGTGATGCACCAGGTATTTACAATGTTTCAAGTTTACATTAAACCATTAAACTGACTCAGGGAAGGGGGGTACTTTCATATATAGGCTAAATGGATTTACATATGTATGCCACTTTGAAGCGTATTGGTGTTCAGGCAGTATAGTCTAGAATAGGGTATAATCTTCTGGAAAAGTGGCCAATGGATAAACAATTTCGTCCAGAACAGGTTTCTTTACCCGAGGTTCTATAATAGAGATTGAAACTCGGAAGTGACTTTGTAAGTTGTTAGACTATGATAGTGATGAAAAAAGGTTCTGTATGGATGTGCCCCTGGGACACTGAAACTGTTACAGGTACCTTACACTAGACCATGATCAGCCTGATGTTGCAACCTTATTCTAGTCTAGGAACCAAAACCTCCTGGTTTGGGATAGGGTAGGGAGTTTTGGTTCCTAGTCTAGGATAGGGTTGCAATATCAGGCTGATCATGGTAGCTGCTAGTATAAGGTAGGGGTTTCCTTCAAAATCACACCAAGATTTTGTGTTTGAGTGAAATTTCAGCCAGTAAGAAGCTCTGTTAGCTGGTGAATTTGGTGCATAGTCAGCTAATAACTACATCCCTGAATAAATTTACGCACATTTATTAAACGTCACACTTGTCACTTGTGCCCATTGATGTCAGGGATATTTTGCGCTGGAGCTGATCTTAAAGAGAGAGCCAAGATGGCAGAACACGAGGTTGGTCCATTTGTATCCAGGGCTCGGGCGGCAATAATGGAACTTCACAACCTGCCAATGCCGACAATAGCTGCACTAGATGGGCATGCCCTAGGTGGGGGATTAGAGATGGCACTGTCTTGTGACTTCAGGATCGCAGCAGATAATGCGAAAATAGGATTGACAGAAACCCGTCTGGCAATCATTCCAGGAGCAGGTAATGATTAACCTAAGTTGAACCTTTGACATCTGAGTGTTTTTTAATTAGTGGCTCTACACATGCATATAGGTAAAGGTAAAGACTGCATACAAGCCAAGTGGCCCATCAGGCCAGAGCTTATCCTGGTTTCTGTAGCATGAAGCGACTGTAAGTATTTCTACTCCTCCCTGAATGGGATGCTGGTCCATTGCAGGGTTACCCCCAACATTAAATTCACCAGTACCCATTTGTACACCAGGGTGGAGAGAGGCACTGTGAGAGTTAAGTGTCTTGCCCAAGAACACAATGCAGTGTCCCCAGCCAGGGCTCAAACCTGGACCGCTCAATCCAGCGACAAGCACACTAACCACAAGGCCACCACACCTCCCACTCCAGGAGCAGGTAAACAATGAGTAACCTTGAACCTTTGACTTCCGAATGTTTTAGTGTTTCTACTTGTGTATGGTGTCAGAAAATCCACTTTTCAAGTCTTGTTGTACAAATCATTGGACACCTAGCTCATCACTTTCCAAGGTCAGTCACAGTAACTTTTTGTTTGTTATTATTACATTCAGGAGGGACACAGCGTCTACCAAGGTTGGTTGGCATATCAAAAGCCAAGGAGATGATTTTTACTGGGAAAATGATCAGTGGTACAGAAGCTGCAGAAATAGGTTTGGCTGATTACGCTGTTGAACAAAACGAAGCTGGAGATGCAGCATATCAAAGAGCCCTGATACTAGCCGAGGAAATTCTTCCCCGTGGACCTGTGGCAGTCAAGATGGCCAAACTGGCAATCAACAAGGGTGTTCAGGTA